ACTGCATTGTCCATTCAGTCCTTTTTATCACATTGCGGATCCTCGGTTTCTATGTACATCGCCCAACTGGGCATGTAACAGTTGGTATCGGAACGCCGCACGTGAATCAGGACAAACCTGATCTGACACGTGTGCGGGGATTAGGTAGCTGATTAGTCTTTATTGATTGATTAGAGCACACTAGTTAGCCCCCAAAATCACAATTTTGACCTTACTGCCGAAAATCGATTTTTTTTTTCTTTTCTTGGATTTTGTTTTCTCGCTTTTCTGTTGTAGCGCAACATCTGAAATTTCCATTTTCGTTTTCCTTTTGAAATTTCAAAATTTCGTTGTTGAAAATCCGGAATATCCTTCTTTTTGAAAATTTCGATTTCCTGTTGCATTTCCTGTTATATCTTCTTTTTCGAAATTCGTTTTTCTGAAAACGGTACGGCAAATCCCTCCTGCAGGTATTATTTTCCAAACTGCGAATACTCTCATCTGAGTAAATCCGGATACTTGTCATTTCTTTTCGGAAATTTTCTTTTCGCAGTTCTAGGATTCTGTTAGTCAGTTCTATAAATCATTTGCAGTCTGAAGTCGAATTTTTTTTTCTCTCATTGATCATTTCGCACTTCATGGGAGGTTGGGAGACCTACTGAACTTGCAAAGTTCGCCCTTCAAGGGAGGTCGGGATTTTCATTATTTCGATTTTTTTTTGCAAAGTTCGAACTTTTTTTTTGATTAGTGGCTCCTTATCTGGGCGTTATCTGGGCGATTCTTCCCACCCACCCTCCCCACCTATGTTGTTGCCACCTCTCGCCATACCTTCTCTACCTGTCTCCGGGTACCCCCTGCGGCGACATTGGTGAGTTGCCACGTCAGCAGGCCACGTCAGCAGACTACGTCAGCAGACTACGTCAGCAGGCCACGTCAGCCGACAGCAGTGCCACGTCAGCAACAGGGAATACCACATCAGCAGGCCCCCGGCCTGGTCTATGCTGTTGCATTCACAAACAGCCGTCATGGACCAGAGGTCCGGAGAAGCAGACGAGGCCTATCACGCCCGCATGCTGGCCTGGAGTACCGAAACAAAGAAACGGGCAGATGATGCAGCAGCAGCAGCGAAGAAGAAGGCAGAGGACGCCGAGCAGGTATGTCTGCTGGCAATTGAACAACAGCGCCAGCATGACGAGGCAGCAGCAAAGGCTGCCGATGAAGAAAGAATTCAACGTCGTGAGAAGATATTTAGCGGAGAGCAGACTTTGCTCACAATGGCAGCCGAATGGCGGACCGAGGCCGAGAATGGCAAGTTGGAGGATAGCGAAAACAGGATCGCTCTCCTCCTCTCCCATCTCACGGACCTCCTGGTGACATGCATTACACAACAGGAGGACATCCACAGCCTCGATGACTCGCTAGCTCAAGTCCAAGGCCGCCTCCGGCGGCTGGAGCAGCGACCTGTGGCCGCCCCCGATGCAAGCTCTTCCAACACCTCCGATCGCTCGAAGCATTGGAGATGGACGTCGGCTCCATCAAGGACGGCGTGCAGTTACAGCAGACCGCAATGCAACAGTTGGAACAACGGATCTGCATTGCCGCCAACCACTCGAGTTCGGAACCACGCGAGACAGCTCCAAAGTTTGACGGGTAGGAGATCTTCTGCTTCTCGACGAAGACAGATCCAATTTCATGGTTCCGCAAGTTCGAGCTCATGCTACAGCTGCACTACGTCAAGGAACAAAAGCACCACGCGTACTTATACTCCCGGTCGGGGGGTGCGTGCCAGGCATGGTTGGACAATCTCTTGTCCAAAGTACGGAGTAGTAGCTGGCGACTTGCACACCAAGATCAGCTGGGATGATCGGAAGGCGGCGTGGCACAAGCGGTTCCAAGTCGAGCCGCCGGAGATTAAGGCGGTGGACAAGCTCATGGTCTTCGAACAAGGGCGGCGTGGCACAAGCGGTTCCAAGTCGAGCCGCCGGAGATCAAGGCTATRGACAAGCTCATGGTCTTCGAACAAGGCACGTTGCCGAGTACCAACGCTTGACATCAGTCCCACACATCCAGATGGGCTTCAAAGCCATCCGCCACTATTTCATCTCAAGGTCATGTCCGACGTTAAGCAATGCCCTGACTCACGTCGAGGACACCTTGACGACGACGGCAGAACTCTTTGACAAGGCCGCGCAGATCATCATTACGAACAAGGAGGCTAAGAACCTGCGTTCGTATGCGCCAGGCCCGAGCAGAGACTAGCATCGACCAAGAGTGGCCGTGGTCGCGGCGGCAACACCGTTTGACCAAACTAGCGAGGCCGTGTCTGCCAATGAAGGAGACAGACTCGCAGCCGCCGGGGAAGGTGGCCGCCCCGACAAAGGCCGAGGACGCGGCAAGACGAAGACACACATCGCATCTATCCCCGGGCCCGACGCAGCAGCTCCAGCCCCATGGTCCCAATACGGCATCTCCGAGCAAGCCTTCAAAGCACGCACGAGATTCCACTATTGCTTATGGTGCAACAACGATCTCCATGAGACAGTGGCCTGCCCATTGAAAGGCAAGGGCAAACAGGGAAACTGAGCACCGTCGAGAGTGACTCGACGACACTCTCGACGCCTCCGGAACCGGTCTCTTCGCGAGTGACCGGCCTTCATTCCGAGGCGCATGAGGAAGTCGATAGTCCTCCTCTTCTATATTCTTTTGAGGACTATGCTGCCCAACTCGTTCCTACGCTGGGTACTCAAGCTCAAGGACAAGACGTGTGTGCGACATCTTTTCTGTCCGGCAGCAGTGACTTATCGTCTTCAAGTGGTTCTTCACGGGATTCGGCGCGAGAGTTCAACATAGAGGTATTGGACCCGCTCACGTCCGAGGATTTTGCATGGCTTCCTCTCCCGACCACGGGCCGCTTGTCGGGATCGCTATGCGCAGCACTATGCGCTCCTCTCCACACGTACTTATCCTTCTATGCACCACCAACTTCGCCGACGGATGACGAAGTCGCAATGGCGGACATCCTTGCGTATATTACCAAGGTGGCCCGCGAGTTTCGCACGCAGCGGTACGATGACAACAACGCACTGCTTATGTATGTCCGCATTTAGGATGGGCAAGCGTCCTGCAGCGCTTTGCTGGATAGCGGCGCGTCTCGCAATTTCATGAGCCAATCTTTATGCAAAGGACTGGCTTTGGCGCACAAGTTCAGAGGAAGGCAAACCCGACGGCGATCAAGTTGGCGGATGGAAAGACGCAGCAACTTCTCGACCGTTACATCTAGGTCGTACCGGTTTATTTCGCACCTCATGCATGCGAACCGGTGACGTTCGACATTCTCGACACGGACTTCGACATCATTCTGGGAATGCATTGGCTTGCACGTGCGGATCACACGGTCGACTTCCACCGGCGGACTCTTAGCGTTCGCGATGCCTTCGGCGCCGAAGTAGCGTGTACTATTCCTCTACCGCACCCTTCGATTCGGTGCCAAGTGGTGACGGCCAAATCATCCTGGGCGACTTGTGCTTACGAGCAGGCCGAGGAAATCGGCCTATGTTTCCTACGGACCGTCGCGGTAGCCGACTCTTCACCCACGGACCTGTCTTCGGACCCCCGGGTGGTGCAGTTGCTGGACGAGTTCGCCGACATCTTCGAGTCACCTACCGGTGTGGTGCCGGATCGGCCGATCTCTCACGAGATCATCCTTGAGGCCGGTGCCGTGCCGCCGAAAGGTTGCATCTATCGGATGAGCAAGGAGGAGCTTGAGGTCCTTCGCGCACAACTCGACGACTTGTTGACCAAGGGCTGGATCCGCCCTAGTAGCTCCCCATATGGAGCACCAGTTCTCTTCGTCTGGAAGAAGAACAAGGAGCTACGATTGTGTATTGATTACCTCAAGCTCAACGCGCAAACCGTCAAGAACGCGGGGCCTCTCCCTCGCATCGACGATCTTCTTGAGCGATTGGGCGGCGCAAAGTATTTTTCTAAGTTGGATTTGAAACCGGGATATCATCAAATCTCGATCCGGCCGATTGATCGCTACAAATCCGCGTTCAAGACGCGGTACGGGCATTTTGAGTGGGTGGTCATGCCTTTTGGCCTCACCAACGCCCCGGCAACCTTTCAAGCGGCAATGACCAACGAGTTTCGTGCAATGTTGGACCGGTTCGTGCTGGTCTACTTAGACGATATTCTCGTCTATAGCTGGACATTGGAGGATCATCTTGGCCATCTTCGACGAATGTTGGAGACGCTCCGCCATGCCAAGTACAAGGCCAACCTCGACAAGAGCAAATTTGTCCGGCAAGAGCTGGAATACTTGGGCCATTTTGTCACACCGGAGGGCATCAGTCCGCTATCGGACAAGATTCAAGCCATCCAAGAGTGGCCGGAGCCTCGGAACGTCACGGATGTCCGTTCGTTCCTTGGCCTTGCCGGCTACTACCAGCGTTTTATCAAAGGCTACTCGAAGATCGCGGCCCACTTGACCAAGCTTCAATGTGAGGATCGGCCGTTTGACTTCGGCGAGGAGGCGCGAGAATCATTTTTGGCTCTCAAAGCCGCGCTATTGTCTGCGGAGGTGTTGCGCATATACGACCCGCTTTTGCCTACGCGCGTTACTACGGATGCATCCGGCCATGGCATTGGTGCCGTCCTCGAGCAACATGAAGGTGTGGGCTGGCACCCGGTCAAGTATTTCAGCAAGAAAGTGCCCGTCGTACATTCCATTGACGATCCACGCAAGAAGGAGCTCCTCGCCTTCGTCCATGCGCTCAAGCGGTGGTGGCACTTCGTCCTTGGTCGAAGCCAGTTTCGATGGGTAACAGACAACAATCCGTTGGTCTTTTACAAGACCCAAGACACCGGCAATAGAACCATCGCTCGATGGATGGCTTTCATCGAGCAGTTCGACTTCTTCCCCGATCACATTTCCGGGAAGTCGAACCGTTTTGCGGATGCTCTTTCACGGCGTCCGGATCATTGTACCGCGGTCTACTCAACCTTCGAGATTGACGATGACCTGAGGAACAACTTCATCCGCGGGTACCAAGTAGACCCCGAGTTCCGCGACAAGTACGCGAATTGCTCCTCTCCTAATCCGGCGCCTTCTCACCACCGAATCCAAGACGGGTACTTGCTTGTCCACATGCGGGGGAAGGACCTTCTTTGTGTACCGAGTGATTCTCACTTGCGTACACGGTTTCTTGTCGAGTTTCACGATACTCCCGCCATTTGGAGTCAATCGCACGATTGGCAGACTTCGCGAGCGATTTTGGTGGCCCGGCCTTCTCGGCGACGTCACACGCTACTGCGAGTCATGCGAGGTTTGCCGACGCTGCAAATCCCGCAACCATCGTCCGTACGGTGAGTTACGACCATTACCGGTCCCGTTGAGGCGAAGGGAAGCGATTGCCATGGACATTACCTGCCCGTTCCCCAAGCACAAGACCGGAGTGGATGGGATTCTCACGGTGGTCGACCGACTCACCAAGTTTGCCATGTTTTTGCCTTGTCGCTATCATGCCAAGGCACTGGAGTTGGCCGAGGTTCTCTACACCGGTTGGATTCGAACCAAGGGTTACCCCAAGGAAATCGTCTGCGACCGCGACACTCGGTTCATGTCCGATTTTTGGTTGGCGCTCATCAAATAATAGGGCTCATCTCTCAAGCCCAGTTCAGCGCGCCACCCTCAGACCGATGGCCAAACGGAGAGGGCGCACCAAACCGCACAGGTTCTCCTTCGCACTCTCATTCGTCCTGACCAGAAGGACTGGGTTGAGCGGCTGCCAGATGTCGAGTTGGCCTTCAACTCTTCCATCCACCCAGCTGTCGGGATATCGCCTTTCGAGTTCGAGTACAGCTCACCGGTCACTTCGCCATTGGACACTATCACTCCATGAACAGCCGAGAGCGACGACCGTCTTCTTTTCTTGCATTGGATGCAAGAGCTTCTTGTCAAGGCACGCTATCAGATGGCTAAGGCGCAGCAGCGCATGAGCCAGCAGGCCAATCGCCAGCGTCTTCCTTGCCCATTCCGCGTCGGCGACCTCGTTTGGGTTTCCGCAGCAGAATTCAGCCTTGAACATGACATCTCTCGCAAGTTCCTCCCGAAATGGATGGGGCCTTGGCCGATCGTAGCACCCGCTGGGGACGCACCCGAGGGACCTTCCTTCACGATTCAGGTGCCCGCCACTTGCCCGTCTACTGTCTTTCATTGCTCCAAGTTAGCTCTTTACACGCCAGCGGAACATGACGATTTTTCCGGGAGACGTTCGCAAGACCCACCCTCTATGGACGGTTTTCAGGAGGTCGGCGACATCATCTCCCAGCGATGCTATGGCAACAGGCCAACCGAGTATTTGGTGCATTTTGCATACTGCACACACCGAGCTGACCGTTGGTTGACCCGTGCGGAACTTCAAGCAACAGCTCCAGACGTTCTCGCACGCTAGGAACACAAGATGCAAGGCAAGCCGGTCTTTTCGGCTCCACGCCGCGCCCGCGTCCAGGTTCCACCTTCAGATCGTCGGCTCCGCCCTCGCCCCGGCTTGACTTCATAAGGAGGGGGGGGTGTTACATGCTGCGCCTGCACACGAGGGCCATTTTCCAGGCCCTGCGTCCCTCAGGCTTCAAGCCTGAAAACCAGGGCCTACAGGCCCCGTGACTGTTCACCCCGAAAGCCTGAAAACAGGGGCCTACAGTCCTTGTGTCGTTTCAGACTAAAAATGGCACTAGCCTTTTTAGCCTGAAACGAAGGGCCATTTTCGGTCGTTCATCAGAACAATCGGCCCTGAAACTCAGGCACCAAACCAGGGTTTCGGGAACAGGCTATTCTTAGCCTGTTCCCACGACAGCCTCAGCAGTGGCTGCAGCTCCAGCCCCTGGCACACTTCGGCATTGGCACGAGCAGCCTCCTCGGCCTGGCTCGCCCTTCAGGCAGTCAGGAGGCAGGCCGAGGTAGTACATAGGGACTTCCCATGCACTTCACGGGTAGGCAGGAGGCAGTAGTCTTCAGGAGGCAGCAGCACTCTGGAGGGAGCGCTGCAGGAGTAGTAGTAGCGTTAGCCTTAG